GAGGTTTCCAAGCTGAGCCATGCTGGCTCAGGAATTCTGGGAGTTGAAGTCCACGAGTCATAAAAGAGCCAAGGTTGCCTACCCCTGACCTAGAGGAACATATGAAAGCATAATTAATGTTAATTAATGTAGACTTTATTAGTTTAGCCCAGGGGTAGGCAACCTTGGCTCTTTTATGACTCGTGGACTTCAACTCCCAGAATTCCTGAGCCAGCATGGCTCAGCTTGGAAACCTCTCCCTTTCCCCTCAGTGTGGCTGGCTCAGGAATTCTGGGAGTTGAAATCCACGAGTCATAAAAGAGCCAAGGTTGCCTACCCCTGATCTAAGTTAAGAGGTTGTACAGGATGGGAAGGGTGTAAAAGGGACCGTGCCTAACGCTCATTAGCTGAGATCCATCACACTTAATGGAGGATCACACCACTTTTCTAGATGCAATAAACTTCGGAAGGAGACGCTAAAAGTATCTTAGCTAAATATCTACGGAGATTCTCCATCATCCAGGTCATAGTTATCCCCAAAGGGTGCTTTTTCAGGAGGCAACTGGATTTCCTTGTTTTTCTTTGAAGACATTTCGCTTCTCATCCCAGAAGCTTCTTCAGCTCTGACTGGATGGTGGGGAAGGGAAGGATTTATACTCCTTGTAGAAAGCTGGTCATCTGCCCTCTTTTAGAGAGTTGTTGAGATCCTGCAACCAAGAAGGCTCCACACCCATTTGCACCACTCAGGTGACCCCTGAGGACTCAGATAAGCCTCCAAGTGGCCTCAACGACTCTCTAAAAGGAGGCAAATGACCAGCTCTCTGCCAGGAGTATAAATCCTTCCGTTCCCCACCATCCAGTCAAGAGCTGAAGAAGCTTCTGGGATGAGAAGCGAAACGTCTTCAAAGGAAAACAAGCAAGTCCGATTGCCTCTTTTGGGATCGAAGTAACCTTAGTCAAATACTCTTCTATTCCTATAGATATCAGAGCCCATCCATGACATCAAAGCAATACACACAGCACACTCTAGACTACTCAAAATTCAGCATGTTATGTAGCGCAGAGATTCCCGGCATTCGGGCCACGGCCTGTTTGGAATCGGGCCGGGGGAAGCGGTAGGCGGGCACGGGCTCAGCTCCCCTTCCGTGAGCAGTGGCCGACTGCACACGCATGCAAGGCTCCATTTATGCAGGCCCGTGTGCCCGCCACTTCTTCAAACAGAGCTGTGTGTACCTGCTCGCCCACCGCTCGCGTGGAACCATTCCCGCCGGTCTGAAAAGCCGGACAGGTTGATGATCCCCGATGTATGTGTTGTAGGAACTTGGCAAGGACAAGTGAAATGGTGACCGCCCTAAACGAAAAGCATCTTACCTTGAGCATGGCGTCCTCTGAACTGGCTCCGTGCTTGATAGGGAATGGCATTCTTCCATCTGCAAGCAAAGTTGGAGAACAAAGCCCATAACTTCCGTAGCATCTTTGTGTGTGAAAATTACCGGTGTTAAGAGGAATTAGCTTGGTCCACTTTCTTGGAGGCTTACGGTAGAGAATGCCCTTAATCCAGGGATCTTCAAACTTGGCCCTTTTATGACTGGTGGACTTCAACTCCCAGAATTCCTCAGCCAGCCTCCATTTTGTTTGTAAGATTTAAGACAGGGGTCTTCAAACTTGGCCCTTTTATGACTTGTGGACTTCAACTCCCAGAATTCCTCAGCCAGCCTCCATTTTGTTTGTAAGATTTAAGACAGGGGTCTTCAAACGTGGCCCTTTTATGACTTGTGGACGCCAACTCCCAGAATTCCTCAGCCAGCCTCCATTTTGTTTGTTAGATTTGAGACAGGGGTCTTCAAACTTGGCCCTTTTATGACTGGTGGACTTCAACTCCCAGAATTCCTCAGCCAGCGTGCCTGGCTGAGGAATTCTGGGAGTTGAAGTCCACAAGTCATAAAAGGGCCAAGTTTGAAGACCCCTGGATTAATCTCTCTACCTGTAGCACCTCCCAACCGGGTTATTTAGTCAAATATTGATTAGCAGCTGCTTGTAATATCACCAAAGGGGGAAAAAAAGGAATCACCCTCTCATTATTTCAGAAGCTGCAGGTTCCTTTTTTACGTCTTCCCCTAACCATGATGAAAAAAATTAATTATTAGCTATGAAGACTCCAATTTCCATTTTATCTTCCTGTTGTTTTCAAATTTATGGTCCATAAACTCACGGACGATAAACCAACCGCATGGGCTAAGCTCCTGTAATATCTTAAACTAACGTGTTACTGTTGTATGTACCCTCCAAGTATGAGTTTACAAAAAGGCTAGTACGGGGGTAGGGAACCTGGGCTCTTTTATGACTTGTGGACTTCAACTCCCAGAATTCCTGAGGCAGCATGGCTGGCTCAGGAATTCTGGGAGTTGAAGTCCGCAAGTCATGAAGGGGCCATAGTTCCCCCCCCCCATGCTGGCTCAGGAATTCTGGGAGTGTTGAAGTCCTCAAGTCATGAAGGGGGCAATAGTTTCCCCCCCCCCATGCTGGCTCAGGAATTCTGGGAGTTGAAGTCCACAAGTCATGAAGGGGCCACAGTTCCCCCCTATGCTGGCTCAGGAATTCTGGGAGTTGAAGTCCTCAAGTCATGAAGGGGGCAATAGTTTCCCCCCCCCCCATGCTGGCTCAGGAATTCTGGGAGTTGAAGTCCACAATTCATGAAGGGGCCATAGTTCCCCCCCCATGCTGGCTGAGGAATTCTGGGAGTTGAAGTCCTCAAGTCATGAAGGGGGCAATAGTTCCCCCTTCACATGCTGGCTCAGGAATTCTGGGAGTTGAAGTCCACAATTCATGAAGGGGCCATAGTTCCCCCCCCCCATGCTGGCTGAGGAATTCTGGGAGTTGAAGTCCTCAAGTCATGAAGGGGGCAATAGTTCCCCCTTCACATGCTGGCTCAGGAATTCTGGGAGTTGAAGTCCACAAGTCATGAAGGGGCCATAGTTCCCCCCCCCATGCTGGCTCAGGAATTCTGGGAGTTGAAGTCCTCAAGTCATGAAGGGGCCAGTTCCCCCCCATGCTGGCTCAGGAATTCTGGGAGTTGAAGTCCTCAAGTCATGAAGGGGGCAATAGTTCCCCCATGCTGGCTCAGGAATTCTGGGAGTTGAAGTCCACAAGTCATAAAGGGGCCCTATCCCTGGGCTAGCAGCTCTGCGTGAACAGGTAGTCCTCGGGTTATGACCACAACCGAGCCCAAGGTTTCTGTTGTTCAGCGACACGTATGTTAGGTGAGTTTTGCCCCGTTTTACGACCTCCGTTGCCACGGTTGTTAAGTGAATCACTGCAGTTGAAAAGTTAGTAACCGGGTTGTTAAGTGAATTCCGCTTCCCCTTGACTTTGGTTGTCAGAAGGTCACAAAAGAGGATCACGTGACCCGGGGGGGGACACTGCAACCGTCATAAATATGAGTCGGTTGCCAAGAGGCTGAATTTTGATCAGCTGATCATGGGGAAGCTGCAAAAGCTGTCATAAGTCGCTTTTTTTTTTCAATGCCGTTGTAATTTTGAACGGTCAGCAAATGCACTGTTGCAAGGGTGAGGACATCCCTGTTATTTTCCTAATGCGATGTGTGTGAATTGCATCCTGGGAGAAGTGTATTCATTCTGCAGCTGCTTTGATGGCACTGTAGGTGGAGCTGGCTAGGAAGATACGCTACGGATCCTTAAGTAAATGCAATTATAGATGCCTAAAAACTGCTTGCCTCAAAATGCCACCGGGGAACTGTTCTGCATTGAAAGCTATAATCGTAGACAGAAAATTTCAAAACCGATATATATATAAAACTTACCCAGTTCGTAGAGGTGTCCGCCTACGCTGGCAAACAGAATGAAATGGAAGTTCACCTTGTCATCTTCAGCCTAAGAGAAGATAAGAGTTAAGAAGGCGGGTATCTGGCAAGAACAGGGGGAGGGACACACAAGTTCTGCCTCCAGAAGTTGTGACTGCTCCAACATTGGAAGTTTTTAAAGAAGAGATTTGTCTGAAATGGTATAGGGCAGGGGTAGGCAACCTTGGCTCTTTTATGACTCGTGGACTTCAACTCCCAGCATTCCTGAGCCAGCGTGGCTGGCTCAGGAATGCTGGATGTTGAAGTCCACGAGTCATAAAAGAGCCAAGGTTGCCTACCCCTGGTATAGGGTCTCCTGCCCTGAGCAGGGGGTTGGACTAGAAGACCTCCAAGGTCCCTTCCAACTTTGCTATTATTATATTATTATTATAACGGTGGCACATTTATTTCTCCCCCCCCCTTTTTCCCCAATATTTTTAAAACAAGCTTCCCAAGCATTTTCACCTCCTTCCTAGAAGGAATAACTGTGAGGAACCCAAGAAAGAGCTGCTATTACAACATGGGTCAGATAAAAGAAACCAAGTAAGGCACAGAACTTTCATCAGAGTATGCCTCTCAGACATACTTCCCCAGTTCTCACGAAGATGAAGAAAAGGAAGTAGGGAAATATGTTCAGATTTGCAAAATTCTGTTATTATAACCTCTATGGCAGGGGTCTTCAAACTTGGCCTTTTTAGGACTTGTGGACTTCAACTCCCAGAATTCCTCCGCCAGGCAAGCTGGCAGAGGAATTCTGGGAGTTGAAGTCCACAAGTCATCAAAGAGCCACGTTTGAAGACCCCTGCTCTGAACTAATAACATCTACATTAATTAACATTAATTATGCTTTCATATGTTCCTCTAACGCAGGGCTCTTCAAACTTGGCCCTTTTAGGACTTGTGGACTTCAACTCCCAGAATTCCTCTGCCAGGCAAGCTGGCAAAGGAATTCTGGGAGTTGAAGTCCACAAGTCATCAAAGGGCCAAGTTTGAAGACCCCTGCTCTAAGGGCTGCAAATTGCCCCCACAAACCTCATAACCTCTTGATACCCTTTGTCCCAATGAAGCAGCCAGAAGGTCATACCCTTTTGATTTAATGCCTCACCTACCTAAACAGATAATATGCTTAAGTTCCTTCTCCTATCTTTCCCTGCCTTTGTTAGCTCCTTCTGCTTTCATCTCCCTGTATTTGTTCTTACCTGGTCTTTGATCATGTAATGTGTTACTAGGAATTTTCCAATGAAGAAACTTTATGTCAGCATCTCATAGTTAAACTTATGAATGTAAAATGTCAGCATCGAATGGTTAAGCTGGTGTATGTAACAAGTATATAAGAAGCAATAAACTCAAGAGTTTGTCAAGCTGTGTCCTGCAGCTTCAGACCTCTGCTCAAGACATGCCTGCGTCTTTGTCTTGGCGTCATACACTGGAGACACCAGTTCTTGGCCCATTGTATTGTTGAAAACCTAACAATTAAAGCAGTATTTACCCGGCATTGGCCTTCTTGGGCAACTGCATTGTGGGCTTCTTGAATGGCCTGGGAAGAGATAAAAAATTTAAAAAGATAGATAGATAGATAGATAGATAGATAGATAGATAGATAGATAGATAGATAGATAGATAGATAAAGATAGATGATATATAGATATATACTCACATATACATACACACACACACACACAGACACATATATACACACACATATATATACAGACATGTACATACACACACACACACACACATCAAGATGATTTTATCTAAATCCACTATTCCCATTCCTGCGAATCTATTCATCTTCACCAGGGGTGTCCAACGTTGGCCATTTTAAGGCCTCCGGAACTTCAACTCCCAGAATTCACGGCTGGCCTGAGAATTCTGGGAGTTGAAGTCCACAAGTCTTAAAGTGGCCCAGGTTGGACACCCCCTCCCCTCCCCCCCCCGGATCTACTGCCTGTTCAACAAATGTTAATGCTGAGCATCCATTCTGAATGACACCCTGCATGGGGAAAATTGTGACATATAGTCCTCAAGTTACGTCCCGTTTGTTTAGTAACCGTTCGAGGTTAGTGTGGCGCCGAACAAATGGTATTTATGAGCGGTCCTTACTGTCCTGGCTGTAGCGGTGTCCGGGCACAAGGTGCAAATTCAAACGTCCCACAAGCAAACCCATTGGGGAAGCCAGCAGGAAATCCTTGTTTAACAGCCGGCATGCCCTACTGAGGAATTCTGGGACTTGAAGTCCACAAGTCATGAAAAAGGCCAAGTTTGAAGACCCCTGTCCTAGTTTATAAAGTCAGTGTGTTTCTATTGATAGTTGAAACAGGAGACTGGAATCATTACGAAACAGGATGACGTTTCTTAGCCTCTATTAGCAGCTTGGAAAAACTTATCCAGGTCATCCATCCCTTTTACCTTGTTGTTCTCCAGACGTTTTGCCCTCTCGTCTGGAGACAGCCCAGCTGTCGCAGTGAGGAATTCTTTTAGTGCAGATCCTTCATCTGGAAAAGATGAAATTAAAAGCGATTTAAGTCTTGTGCAGGGGAAATAAAGAAGCACAGAATAGAATACAGAATAGCAGAGCTGGAAGGGACCTTGGAGGTCTTCTAGTCCAGGGCTTTTCTACCAGTGGTACAGGTACCACCTGTGGTACATTGGCACCTGGCAGGTGGTACGCGACCATCCTAGAAAAGTGGCAACAAGGGGAAGGAATGAGCTGAACCGGTCGCAGCACCGCACAAGCCTGAGCGAGAGATGGCTGGAGCTGCAGGGCTGTCAGGGCTCAGCGGAAGCGCCAGGATCAGCGCCAGGCTCCAACTGGAACTCAGCACTGATCCTGGTGCTTCTGCTGAGCCCAGAAGAAGCGCCGATCAGCTGGAATGTTGCAGCCTCTCCAGGGTCTTGTGACTTACATTCAGATGCTTGGCAACTGATTCATGTTTATGACGGTCAGTGTCCCAGGGTCATGTGAAGTGACCAAAACCTGCTGCAACCACCCAGCAGACGGGGGGAATAAAAACCAAACACCCCCCACCCCCACCCCGCTGCCAATCCTCAACAGAAATGCTCACAACAATGAAAACCTCGGACAGGAGGAAGAGTGCCGCCGGGTGGGCAGGCAGGTGTCTTGCTCGGCTGTGGCTTGGGGGGGCACTTTTTTCAGTGCCATTGTAACTTCGAACAGTCACTAAGCAGACTGTTGTAAGTCGAGGACTACCTGTACTTTATCACTTTCCCCCCCCTTTTTTTTTTGGTCATCAAGTTTTAGACCCCTTGCTAGGCGACTGGTGGTACCTCGGATGTCGCCATATCCTAAAAGTGGTACAATGGGTGAAAAGGTTGAAAAGCCCTGTTCTAGTCCAACAAAGGCAGAAAGCCCTACTCACCATTTCAGACATAAATGGTTGTTCAATCTGTTCTTAAAAAGTACTGCCACCTAGCTAGGTGCCAAATAGACAAGACTGAGAGCTACTGGTGAACTGCCTGATCCAAGAATGAACTTCCAGCTGTTAATAATTTACCAAGTTGTTGTACATCGTAAAACCCGCCACTGAGAGGTTGAAGGTGGACATGAATTCAATTAATTATGAAACACATGCACACATGGAAAGAGAGAAAACAGGAAAAAAAAAGAGATCTTCTAGCCCAACCTCCTGCTCATATATACCATTTCAGACCAATGGTTGTCTAATCCCTCCTTAAAAACTTCCAGTGGTGGAGCATTCACAGCTTCTGGAGGCAGGTTGTTCCACTGGTTAATTGTCCTCACTCTCAGCAAATTTCTCCTTAGTTCTAGGTTGCTTCTCTCCTTGATGAGTTTCCATCTGTTGCTTCTTGTCCTGCGCCCTCAGGTGCTTTGGAGAATAGCTTGACCCCCTCGTCTTTGTGGCAACCCCTGAGATGTTGGACATTACAGTGCTACTACTATAGTAGCAGCTGATTCCACCAGCTACATCTGAAAGCTTTTGAGGCCCCTTCATTCCTACAGGGTTAACAGCACACGTATTTTAAAGTCTAAAAGCATCATCTATAATTTCAGGCCGACTCAAGAAAGGAAACATATTTTGCGTCCTCTGTTAAGTTTGACTTTCAGAGCTCTTAAAGTATTTTTAAGTCCACATCAACCAACAATTTAGGGTGCAGTAAAGACTGCAAGGTTTATATCCACTGGAAAATTCTCCCCTAGGACTTACCGAATCGTATTTTATCTTGATTATTAGCTACTGCGTGGATGAGGCCAATGGTTCCGCAAGAGTTACTGGCAGCCTGCTTCACAAAGTAGACATCTGAACTCGTTTCTTGGCCCTTCAGTTCTTCAATCTGCTTTTTTCTGAAGTTTTCGTGCTACAATTGAAGCATATTCATTAGACACCATCCGGGTTTTTGTGTCTCCGTCACAAACTTGACCCAGTCTGTGGCTGGTTAGCAGGAACGAGCAATTTCCTACACAAAGGTGTATCTGCATGTTGGATTGGACCCTACGGGAGACTTTTAGACCTTTTCAAAAGACCGAACACGCTTATGCATATCTTAATTACATTCAATCTTCATAAAAAAATCCATATCCTGTTACAAAATTTTTGCCCAGTTTTTAGCTTCTCATCAATATTGCAATTTAACCTTTGATATTTATAATTTTCAGGCTAAGCTAAAAATTTATGGATAAATGTAATGATGATGTTTTTACTGAGTTGATATACAGTAACTAGAATTGTACTAGCTTGAATACAAGACAGTAAATGTTAAGGGGAAAAGAGAAGAAATATCTGATGTTGTAACCTGAGATTTGCACTAAAGAATTTGTTATCGAACTATTAACCCAGTCACCACATTGCTTTTTAAATACTTAAATGGAAAACTGGAAAATTAATAAAATGTTATATATACATATAAATATATAAAAGACTGAACACGCATTAACGTGTGCACAGCACACGATAACACGTATCCCAGCCACCCTGGATGAAAGACACATACAGAACAATCTGAGGGCCTCAGGAATGGCGCGAATTGCAAAATTAGGCAGTCCTCGGCTTATGACGACAAATTGAGCCCAACATTTCTGTCGCTAAGCGAGACAGCTGCTAAGTGAATTTTTGCCTCTCTTTATGACGATCGTTCGGTGTCATCACTGCAGTTGTTCAGTTGGTATCACGGTCGTTAAGCGAATCGGACTTCCCCGTTGACTTGGCTCTTCAGAAGTTCACAAAAGGGGATCGCGTGACCCCCCGGGACACAGCAACCGTCATAAATATGAATCATTTGTCAAGTATTCGTAAATCACGGGACCCCGGGAATGCTGCAGCGGTCATAAGCTTGGAAAATGATCCTAAGGCACTTTTTTTTAGTACCGTTGTAACTTGGAACAGTCACTAAATGAACTATTGTAACTTGAGGACTAGTTAAGAATTTTACGTGCTTAGCTTTGAATTGTAGATGTTGCTGATGACACCAATGAAGTTCAAAGAAAATTCCTTATTGCCACTGGCTATACCAGGGGTAGGCAACCTTGGCTCTTTTACGACTCGTGGACTTCAACTCCCAGAATTCCTGAACCAGCATGGCTCAGCTTGGAAACCTCTCCCTTTCCCCTCAGCATGGCTGGCTCAGGAACTCTGGGAGTTGAAGTCCACCAGCCATAAAAGGGCCAAGTTTGAAGACCCCTCAGTTAGAGGAACATATGAAAGCATAATTAATGTTAATTAATATAGACTTTATTAGTTTAGAGCAGGGGTAGGCAACCTTGGCTCTTTTATGACTGGTGGACTTCAACTCCCAGAATTCCTGAGCCAGCATGGGAGAACTATGGCCTCTTCATGACTCATGGACTTCAACTCCCAGAATTCCTGAACCAGCATGGCTCAGCTTGGAAACCTCTCTCTTTCCCCTCAGCATGGCTGGCTCAGGAATTCTGGGAGTTGAAGTCCACCAGTCATAAAAGAACCAAGGTTGCCTACCCCTGGGCTATACAGATTATAATAATCATAACAACAACAACAATAACAATGATGATGATGTTGGAAGGGACCTTTGCGGTCACATAGTCCAACCCCCTGCTCTGGCAGGAAATCCTATACCATTTCAGACAAATGGCTGTCCAGTCTCTTCTTAAAAACTTCCAGTGTTGGAGCATTCACCGCTTCTGGAGGCAGGTTGTTCCACTGGTTCATTGTTCTGTCAGGACCAAATTCTAAAGGAAGATCTGGTCCTTCACTTACCAACATTCATTTAGTGACCGTTTGAAGTTGCAATGGCTTGGGAAAAAGTGAGTTATGACCGTTTTTCACACACTTACGACCGTTGCAGCGTTCCCCGGGGTCACGTGACCAGAATCCAGACGCTTGGCAACTGGCTCGTGTTTATGACGGTCGCAGCATCCCCGGGGGGGTCACGTGATCCCTTTTTGTGACCTTTTCACAAGCAAAGTCAAGGGGGGAAGCCAGTTTCACTGTTGCTAACTTAACAACTGCAGTCATCCACTGTGGCAGGTTGTAAAATGGGACAAAACTCACTTAAACAAGTCTCTTGATTAGCAACGGAAATTTTGGCCTATAGCTGTGGTTATAAATCAAGTATACTACCTGTGTACTAATGCCAATATTCTGCTTTAACATATGGGTCTGAATAGTGCCGTTATTTTGAAATTAATACATTCCAAGGTGCCCCATAGTTGTTAATTCTGGCTTGTAGGCCAATTTCCATGGATATTAGGAAATAACAGAGTATTTACTGTAAATTTGCTGCACAGGTTCAACCCAGTCAATTGTTTTGGTCACAATTCCCCAAGGCAGTTTTGCAAATTCCTGGGGTATTAAAGGTGCAAAACCCCTTCAGAGATAGATCTCTGCTTTAGATTAGCCAAGGACATCCCACTGGTGTGCAAAGGATTGTAAAATACAGGGAATCCTCAACTTACGAAGTCGTAAAGTTGCCAAGGTTGGAGACCCCCACCACCACCACCCCTGCAATAAGGGATGGGAGATTTTATTTTATTTTATTCAGCTTTAATACTTACCTGAGCCGTAAGGGGAAAGAGCAGAAGTACTGCACAAGTTGGAGTCGGCACAGCACTCAAGATGTCTTTCTCAAACCCTAAGACATCCACAAATTGCCAGCCAGGGGCAACCCCTAGGCGATGGAGTATCTACACAAGAAAGGGAAGCACACACAACGCTGGGTATCTCACATTCCCAAAACAGGCAAGCCATGGTCTGAACAAGCCAACGACCAGCAACTTAATTTGGGTTAGCTGAGCCACAAACTCAACCGGAGAATCGACCGTGCTTCTGTGCTCAAAACTGGGATAATTTATTAACTGCGAGTTGACTCCAGGAATGAGCGAGGAGGTACAGCCGAACGCAGGGATAGATCAGCAAACGTTTCCAATTTAATAAAACTAAAAAGTGAAAATGTCCCTGTTTTATTCCCAGGCACAAGTAATGCATAATACGTAATAGGCAAAAGAAAACCGCATGAAAACAGGCAGTTTCCTGCGGTGGATAGACAATGGCTGAAAGGGTAAGGAATGACACCATCTCAGGAGCAAAAATTGCATTTTGTTCTGGGTTCAAATTCCCAAAAGCTGGCAGCCTCCTCGTACTCTGCTTTGGGGATTGCCGGGGTTCTAGCAAAATGAAACGCATCTAATATTATTTATTAGATTTAATGCAGCCATCCCATTCTGCACATACGAAGGCCTGCTTATTCTTGCCCAGTCACGGGAAGTTGAATGGCGTTGCTGCATTTTAAGCTGGAATCCTTTAATGAAGTCCTTCAGCCATTGCCTTACAGAGGTTAGGGCCGGGGTCTTCAAACTCTGCCCTTTTATGCCTTGTGGACTTCAACTCCCAGAATTCCTGAGCCAGCGTGCCTGGCTGAGGAATTCTGGGAGTTGAAGTCCACAAGTCATAAAAGGGCCAAGTTTGAAGAGCCCTGGGTTAGGGCAACAGAGAGCAGCTGGGAAACAAAATTTCATTGGCTCCCAGGGTAGATAGGAAGTTTGATTAGTCCTAACCACTGTATCAATAAAAAACAAATAAAATAAAATGCTGGCTCTAATTTGAGGCAGTTACAAGAAAAGACAGCAATTAATGTTTGCCTGTGACCCCGTTGTCTAGTTCTTTTTATTTTGTGCCACTCATTAACTAAATAAAAGCCAGATGTGATAATGCAAAGAATCAACAATGAGATAAACGCCTCACCTTTATAGGATACCCTGCTCTGTTCAATCTATTCGGCTTTTAGCTCAACTGCCTTAACCAGGGCTCAGGTTGACAAGCCTGAGGACTTCAACTCCCAGAATTCCTGAGCCAGCGTCACCGGTTCAGGAATTCTGGGAGTTGCAGTCCGCAGGTCCTGGAATGCCCACCCACCCCCCCTCTGGTCTTAACTGTAAATCCAGCAGTCTTGTTCATCCTGTATAGATTAGAGCCCCCCCCCTCTTGCCCTCCCAGGGAAATAGGATAATCTGCCATTCAGACCCAAATGGGTTTTCCTTTCAAGCAAGGATGCGAAGGCGCCAAGCCGAAGGGAAGGTGGTCAATCCCAGGTTGAGAGAGAAGACTGTGGGAAGTCAGAGCCCCAGAGAAGGAAATATTAAAAGGGCAGAAATATATATTTTCTCAAAAGTATTTTAAAAAGCAGAAACCAACTTTGGCTCCAAATCTCTCTGCCCCCAAGCAAGACCTAGCCCCATACAGATGCAGATGTAAAACCATCAGAAAGTTGAAGCCAGAGCAATCAAGAAGACAAAGAGAAAATCTGCATGCCCCACCCAAACTCTAGGAGTCATTAGCCCCATCACCTGGGAAGCAGGATATGATAATAGGATTAAACCACAGATATCAAGGCCTAGAAAAACACTCAGAAATA